CGCTGCCTGTCCTGTCTGCTCTCTCCTCCCAGGACCGTCTCTTCTGCAGGTCAGCACCTGGGCTCGCAGACTGCATAAGATCAGGTCCACTTCCCCTGAAGAACAGGAAGTACGAACCCAATTCTCGGAAGAAGCTCGAAGGCCATGTTCTTGACACGTTACCCCAAGTCTCTCCACGCAAGGATGTCATTGTGCCTTCCTCCAAGTGACCATCAAACGTTCTTTAACGCTAGTATGTAGCATTGCTCGCACTCTGAGTCTCTGAAGATTTGTGTTTCTCTCTTCTCGATTATGTGACCTTCAGTACAGAATCTTATTCATATGCCTACCTCCTACAGAATTCACAGATGCAAAGAGGGAGGAGCAATAGGAATCTTTTACATTTGAATTAAATGTGACGGGGAAATACAAAAAAATAAATCAGTATGAACAAAGTTAGAATAATATGAATTACCCTTAAGAGAGCTCAGTAGTTGTATATTTTTTCTGAGTTTGTACCACTAATTAACCAGAAAGAAGAAAGTATGATTCACTTTTGGAAAGAGCATCTTAGGGTTCCATTTCAACTTTAAGGAATATGAAAAGGCTTTCAGACATGCCTATGAAATATACAAATAGACTACTACCTTTTATAGGTGGGTTTTATTTAGTCTGACTAAAGTATGTGCCCTGACTGGAGCAATAAACCCACAACTTAGGCATGTGCCCTGACCTTGAATCGAACCCGCAACCTTTTGGTGTATGGGATGACATTCCAACCAACTGAGCCACCCAGCCAGGGCCATCCTGAGACTGTTAAACCTTCTTCAGCACCGTGCCAAAACATTCTGGCAGCTCCACTTCATTTTCTGTGGGCCACCACCGTATCCAGGATTCAAGGAGCCCTCCCAGCCATTAGGAGAGCTCTTTGCCAGAACAGCATGGGCAAGTGGCAAGTGCCACCACCATGACCATACATTGTGCCCTACCCAGCCTCAGACTTCCCCTTGTCCCCACCTCTCCAACGCCCTCAACTTTCCCTTTCAGGTGTCCCCGATTCTGGCTGAGATGTAGGGGTGAGGTCCTACGATGCTTTTGACACACAAACTATTTTATTCCGGAATTTCTCCTGCTGGGCCTGGCCGGGCCGGCCCTGATGACCAGCTCGGAAGGAATGGGGGTAGTGGTGGGTGATGGTGAGGAAAATGAGCATCGCCGTACCCCTGCCTCAGGATGTGGGTGTCTGGTCTTCATAGCAGGCGAGGCTCTTCGCCTCTGGCAAGGAGCATGGGTGTTCAAGTTCTCAGAATCTTCCAACAAAAGGACCCCCATCCAGACTTCAGTGTCCCTCTCCCTTTCATTCAGGGCCTTGGCCTTGGTATAGAACATTCATTGAGGAGGTGATATGCATTTGTCACTGGTCACTGTTGCTTAACATAAGTTTGCTGGCTGACATTCTCACTTTCCAGTGGGAACACACAGCTTTGGAGAATGACTGGACCTGGTCTGTGGTGGGGAGAGGGTTTTCTGAAGACTGACAAGGGATTAGATTGGCCCAAGGAAAGGCTCCAGGGCAGGACAAAGTGCAGCTTATTTGAGGACATAAGAGCTCAGTCTGGCCCTGGCTGGGTAGCTCAGTTGGTTGGAGCATCGTCTCCCGTGCCAAAATGGTTGTGGGTTTGATCCCTGGTCTGGGCACATACTTAGGTTGCAGGTTTGATCCCCAGTTGGGGTGTATGTGGGAGGCAATCAATCAAGTTTCTCTCTCTCTCTCCCTCTTCCCCTTCCCCTGTCTCTAAAACAAATAAAACCATATCCTTGGGAAAGGATTAAAAAAAAGCTTAGCCTGGTCAGGGTGCACAGCTAATGGGAGAAAGAGTCTGAAGGTCAATGAGGAAGTGGGTTTTTGTTATTTGTTTCTGTGTTGTGGTTAAGAAGCCCGCTATTTTAAACCATTAGCTTATTAAAAAGATCAATACTTGCAAGTCTGAAATTCAATTAGATGTGCATTTATTGTTTCTACCCTCAGGTATCTTAGAATCTAACAGAAAAGCGAAGACACAGTTTTGTATTGTTATCACACATAAGACACGTGGGCATGAGTCTTTGGGGAAGGTCGTGGTGCTCCAGGAGCACTGGGGTAGGTTCATGGGATTGATTTCTTCCACAGACTTTGAACCAGTGCCTTCTCCAGGGCTGCAGAGATGAGTAAGACAAGGAATCCAGTCTTCTGGGAGAGCCAGACACATACACAAATAACTAGAACATATAGATGTAAAGGTAGAAATATACATAATAACAGTTGTTATAATTTATTAAGCACTTGCTAACCACTTTACAAACATTTTCCCATTTGTTCCTCCCAATAAACGTACAAGGTAGGTATTGCTGTCCCAATTTTTGAGACGAGAAAACCAGCACTCAGAGAAGTTAAGTAAATTGGGGAGGTTGCAAAATTGAAAATATGGAATTCAAACCCCGTTCTTACAAGCACCAAGCTCCTGACCACCATGGTATACACTGCTTCTCAGGAGCACGTGGTGTTCCCAGTGGGGCATCCCATCTGAGCCACACCAGCACCGGGAATGCCTCACTGGGTGAGTGTAAGGATCAGGAGATGTTGGGGACACAGACGGGGGGTAGGTGGGTGCGCCACCCTGGTAGCCCGGGGCACGGCTCTGTGGCGGGAACTGGGGGCTGAGGGCCGGCTTCCCACTGATGAAAGGGCTGTGTGTGCATCACGGACAGGCTGGCCATGCCAGGCGCCTCAGCTCACAGACTGGCAAGAACAGACAACCCCTCCCTCAAGTCCAAGGAAATGCACATTCCTACCACTGAGGCGGAACTGCCAGGTATTTCTCGGGGACTTGCTTTCTCACTAATTACCCAAACAGGAGGTTTTCTCCCCTTTCCCATCATCTCAGGTCAACTTGAAAAATGGCTTTTGTTTTCTGTGGGCCTTCGCCTTGTCCATGGTGAGGCCCGAAGCTGAGTGGCCAGAACTGCCTTTGGCACAGCGAGCCCTTCAGTCTTTTGTGCTTCAAAACGGGAACATTTCCACGCCCCCTTCCATGGGGGAGGCCTCCAGAAGGCTTGGGCAGCGCCCAGCCTGTCCCCAGGGCTCCCGTTGTCACCATTCCCATTCCAGTTCCTGGCTTGGCAGGCCGCCGAGGCCCAGCTTCTGCCCCAGTGCTGGGCAGAGTCCCCGTGGCCGCTGAGACCCACACCCAGGCCCGTCTCTGAGCTGAGGGTCCTTACCTTCTCAGCAAACAGCAGAATGAAGGTGGTGGCCTGTCCTCGCTTGTCATTGGCCAGGACAAAAAACAACAACAAATAAAACAAACCCACAGGCATCAACGGTGCTCAGACGTGGCCTATGCAGGCCTCATTCCGGGATGGTTAGGAGAGAGAGACCCCACCGGGCTGCACAGGGCTTCAGACTCAGCACCCTTGGGGGTGGCATGGACACCGGTTTTCAACAAACATCCGGGTCCCTGTCATTGCGGTGGCCCTGACACCACTTTCTGAGGAATTGATAAGCAGAATCAGGGGGAAAAAATAGGGGCATTTGTAATGGTCTCGGTCTATTATATTCAAATATGACTACTCGCTTTTGTTTGAAAGACATTTCTGAGTGTTTACTACAAAAAGGATGGTATGGGAAAAGCGACCTGACTTAAATGAGATGTGAATGACATGCGGTTTAACTCAGGGGAACAGCTGACCAGTGAACATGAAGTGCCCACTCAAATGCGTCTTCTACCTCAGTGTCTCCTGGAAAGAATGTCCAAAATGCATCAGGGCTGCTCACAGGGCGGACACAAGGTCTCATTTTCCCCAAGACTCTGATTTATATGTGAATGCAATAGTATTTGGCTTTATTAGTTCAGAACTTTTAAACTTAAACAATAACAAAAAAAAAAACCCCAAACACCTTCATTGGTTTATGCGAAAGTCTATTCAAATGTTCCTAGGGGTGCCTGTTCTGTGGATTCTCTAGAACATATCCCGTCTTTGAAGTGGTGCGTGCGTTTTTGGGGAGTCGTTCCCAGGCTGAAAAATTAGACCGAAAACAAAAGCTATTCACAGAGTTCATTCCACACAGAACGCTCTGCACGCGATGCTTCGCCTCCAATCATGTTCTTGTAAGACTTCCTTCTTGCTTGGCGCCAGAGTGGCAGCTTTTGTTTTTTGATGATTCTTCCAGCCTGAACCCCCTGCCCCCTCCAAACACCCAATTAAGCCAGAATTAGGAGCACATTTCTCTCTGCCGAGGCTTAAACTCAGCCGCCTGCTTCAGAGCAAAGGCCTCCGATGGTTGTGCTCATTGCATCTCTGCGTAGAGACTCCAGAGAAAATGGAATTCGTTCCCTTATGTTTCCCTGGAAGAGGAAGGTTTTTTTTTTGCTGCTTTGATCTGAGCATGTTGTGCATTTTTTATTGGCCGTTGCGTATAGAAAGCCAGAGCCTCATTTGGTGTGTCTGCTGTGCTCTCTCACGTTGTAAATCACACAGTGTCTTCCAACCCGAAGTAAAACGCTTGGGCCCCAAATGCCATTTCAAAATCAATGCATCACTGCAGTTGATAAGAAAGATTTCCAGGTAGGAGAGAACTAGCCAGGGCATATGCCACAGACTGCTGGAAATGCATCCGTGCAGCCAATCCAGGGTGGAGACAGCCACTCGCTGTTTCAGATCCCTCTTCCTGTCGTGGTGGACGCTGCTGCTGCGGATGGGGCAGCTGGCTGGGTTGCAGCTTCTAGAATGTGACCCATAATGCAAAGGCAGCTCTTTCCCGAGCATTCTAGAGTAACTCGAGTTGTTTACATGTCTCTGTTAGGTAATTTTCCTGTAACTTTGTGATAATTGGTGTCCTACTATTTTGTAAAAGTCTTCATTAAGTCAAGGCAACTGCATTTAGTCAAATATTCCCCCGACGGAGAATTAGAGGAAAATTACAGTTAGCTGATTCAAGGTCCTCACCATGAAGTAAATACAGTGCTTTAGAACATAAAGGCAAACTACAAAAACGGAGTGGTGTAATTAAACATCAAGTAGTCCAAGCGATAGAAGTCATAGACAAGCTGTCTCTCAGTTCTGGTCAGGCCCGTTAGGTACTGCTCCACGACCTGAGCGCTGGTCCTCTCGTCGGAGGAGTGCCTGTCTTTGAAGTTGGGGAATCTCAGCTCTTTGGGGGCGCCGATCAGCTGTAGGAAGTAATTGGCGTCTTCTTCCAAAGTCTCAAACTTCCCCACAAAGTCGTAGTTGATCAGACACGGGTAGCAGAGCTTGCTGACCTTCTCCCAGTGAATGTCCATCCCGACCGGGCGGTGAGAGTCCAGTAAATAGTGAACGAACTCCTTGAATTTGACTCCAGATCCATTATTTAAGTCCTTCTCACAGGCATTTGGCCGATATTTCTTTATAATTGCTTTCCCAAATACCGGGTGGTAGTAACTATTGGGGTGTTCGAATTTGTCGCGAAAGGCTGACACTAATCTTTCCATGGGGTCACGAACAAACACCGCCTTGGTGTAGGTATTCAAACGAGTGTATATCCCTTTCAGGTCAAAGCTGTCCAGCTTTTTCAAATGCTTCCCGTAGTGGACGGCATCATGGGAGATGTTGTGTGCCGAGGGAGCCAACCCGTTCAGTACCATCAGGATTCTTTTCCAGTTGGAGCAGCCAGCCTTCGGAACTTCGCAGTATAAGACCTTGTGCTTATCTTCCACGTAGATCCTGGACACCATGTGGAAGAGATGTGTTTGAGGATGACTCGCCCCACCGTAGTTCTTGCAGAACTCCTGCAGAAAAGACCTGCGTCTCTCTTGGGTGGCATCCGTCCTCCTCCATTTGTTGTCCTGGACTAAGCTTTTGTTTAGAGGGCGCGTGTCCGGGGGCAAACTCATTCCTCTGGACTTCTTGGAAAGGGTCTTAGTTCCTTGATGTTTTTTGACCAACTTAATGGTTGACTCTGTGGTCTTGCCCAAAGGTTGACCTTCTCCTTGTGAGGGCCTTGTCTCCCTCAAGACCCTACTAAACCTCTCAGGGTGAAGAAGAGGATTTTCCTTTTTTTCCTGGGAACCCTCAGGCATGTGGAACTCGGGGTTCTGTTAAAATAGAGAAGAAACATGGAAAGCACATTCACAAATGTGGGTATAGTGATAAGAAAATGAACATATTTATTTTAAGATATTTTTAGGGATAGAACCAAAATCGCTCAGATTTTGCACCTTCACCCCACTTTCATCAGTGTGTGCAGCAACTCTGAGCCCCAATAAACTCTCGGTTCCTTGACCACTTCACCTTTCACAGCCACACTCTCTACTTCACAGGGGCCGTGCCATGGCCAGAGCCTGCACCATCCCCACCATCTCTTGACCGCCACCGGCTAACCATTGTGACTCCCATTTCTGCAGTTCTAAGCCCAGGTTTCATGATGGTGTCCAAGCTCTCAGCTGCCAGTAGACCTGGGTTTTTCCCTTTGGCTCTCAGCAAGTCACCTGTATAAGGAGGTGTTTCCAGCTCAGCTTGCCTCCAGCATGTTCCCCACTAAGATTCACTCCTTCAGAATTCTGCTTTTGCCCTCACAGCACCGATGAAATGTGAAATAATTCCATTTACTTCCAGGCTGCCTTTCCCCACTCCCCCCACCTCTCTGGCACTAGAATACTTGACAGAGGTCTTATCATTCTCGCTCTCTGTTGGCTCCCAGGTCCCTAGTACAGTGCCTGGCACATAGCAGGTGACCAAGAAACAACTGCCGAAGGAGCAAATGTGATTATAAAGTAATGATGGGCTTCGGCACAATTGTTGTATGACCTTGTCAAAGACCAACAGTGTTAATCAAAAGGTCAAGATTAACTCAGAGAGATAATTTACCAATTCTTGTTAAGGTGCCGAAAATCTATATGCAAACAAGTCTTTGGCAGAAGGGAAGCAAATAAACAGGCGCGGGTGGAGGTGGAAAAGTGGGCGTGGTGGGCTGGAGCCGCCCCTGCGCCCAACCAGACTGGTTCAAAGTCACTCAGTGCTGCCTCGGAACCCCTGCAGGCTCGCCCTCAGTTCAGGCTCCCAGGCCTCAGGGTGGGCACTCCGAAAGGGATCTGGGGCTAGGGCACCCAACTCTGTTTAAGACAAGCTCCCCAGTTGCTCCACAGGCAGTGACGGTACTTGGGGAGCACTGAGCTAGAGGTAGCAAAGGAAAGGAAAATCAAACAAAGGCTCATCTCAGGACATGGGGGTGAGAAGGTATCGGGTGGTGGGCGTGGCTGTTCAGTAAGCAGACGCTGTGAGCCTAGACTCTGTGAGCCTAGGCAGGTGTCCCGTCAGTAAATACCCTCCCTACCTATCCGTTCCTTCCCCTGTCCCAGGCCACTCTAACTCCTGTTTGGGCTAGAGCAGTGGTTCCCAACCTTCCTAACACCGCGACCCTTTAATCCAGTTCCTCACACTGTGGTGACCCCCAACCATAAAATCATTTTCGTTGCTACTTCATAACTGTGATTTGGCTACCGTTATGAATTGTAATGTAAATATCTGTGTTTTCTGATGGCCTCCGGCTCCATAGCAGTGGTTCTCACCCTGTGGGTTGGAGCATGAGGAAGGTTGAGAACCGCTGGGCTAGAGAGAGAACTGCAGGAGACAGAGTCTCTGCGCCTGAATCAGACTTCAGTCTCCTGCTGGCTCAGTTAGTACTAGTCTGTTTCCTCAGCTCAGAGCACACTAATTTGTGGGCAAAGGAACAACACCTATGAGGCTTCTTGTTGGATGCCCATTAGACCTTCTTGTAGCAACCGCTTCCTCATCAGCTCTCACCATGTGACAGCCATTGTGAGGACGTGGTGATGCTTCTGCCCCCACCCCCACCTCCCACCTGCCTTCCAGTCAGCAGAGGCTTTCCGAGATTGAGGAGTCTGGATGAATAGAACCAAGGTGGATGGGATTTTAAATTTGACGCTTATACCACTGAGTTTCCACCTCACCATCAGAGTAACTTCAGTAATCATAACTTTTTTCCCCCCTCAAAAAATAAAAAATGAGACTTCCATTTGGCCCACTGATCCTACTTCTAGGAATATATCCTAAGAAACCCCAAATACTAATCCAAAAAGATATATGCACCTCTATGTTCATAGCAGTGCGATTTACAATAGCTAAGCCTTGGACACAGCCTAAGTGCCTGTCAGCAGATGAGTGGGTAAAAAAGCTGTGGTACATTTATACCATGGAATACTGTGCAGCAGTAAAAAAGAAGGATCTCTTATCCTTTGAGACAGCATGGAGGGACCTGGAGAGTATTAGGTTAAGTGAAATAAGCCAGTCAGAAAAAGACAAGTATCACACGATCTCACTCAGATGTGGGATCTAATGAACAAAGTAAACGGAAGAATGGAGTGGATCCAGAGATAGAGAAGCCTGGAACAGACTGACTCATCTCACAAGGAAGGCGGGGTGGGGGTGGGGGGGCAGGAAGGATTAATGAGGAACTTGTATACATATATGCATAAGCCCTGGACACAGACCATGGTGTGGGAAAGGCCTGGGGCGGGGCGGTGTGGGGTGGAGGGGGTCAATGGGATGGAGAAAAGGGGACATCTGTGGAAAACATTGAAGATAAATTAAAAAATAAAAATACCTTTGAGGCTTACACCAATGAGTTTCCATCATCACCTCATAGAAATATAGTTAAGAACAGCATAAGAAGAGTAAACTCTGACATCTCCATTTTTCTCCAGAGCACTTCATGCTGATGGTCCCTAAAGCTTATGTATGTGTAAAGCAAACATTCCCTTTTCTCCCCAGGGGCTCCCTCTATGTTCTGTTCTATTTCTGAAAAGGTTCTGTTTGTAACATTCCAGTCACCCTTCATGGAATCTGCAAGATGCTTTAACAATAAGAAAGTAAATTGGTTCATTTACATCTCATCATGCTTTTTTTTTAAAAAATAGTTTTTATTTATTTCTTAATTGGATGTTCTTTAGTATCCTCTAATTAGCCTCCCTGAAAATGAGCACCAAATTAGTCTTCCTAAAACATTTTATTCCTCATCCCTTAGAATTTGGAACTGGCTCGACTATATAGAAATTCAAGTCCTGATTCCATCGCTGGCACCTGCAGCCTGTCCCCCGGGTGCTCTGCTCCTGTCCTGACATGTCCTCTCCTTGCCTCCATCCGGCTCTCAGCACCCGCCCATGTTTTCCTCCTGTCTTGGGCTGCCCCAAGTCTCCCAGGCTGATCCAAAAGCCTGCTTTCCTGTGAAAAACCACCCACATCTCCCGCGAGGAGTCCACTGGCTTCCAAACAACTGTAGCCCTTACTCTGAACCACGGCAAGGAAAGTGATTGCTTCCCAGCTCACGTTGTTCTCTGGTTTTCTCAGGAGGCAGACCCTTTTAGCCACAGCAGAACTGAACACTATGGTCCTGAGCGACTGGAGCCCTGGACTCCGCAATGCCAACTGTGCGAGCAGCGGTGACACTGGCGGGGACACATTCCATTGGTCGTATGTAGTGAAGCATCTGCCCGCCCAGATCGGATTTGCCTGTGTCAGCGCCTTCGAGTGACACACACGCCCCTCTAGCGTTGTCACCTGCATATCTGACAGCTCAGCTTTCCCAGGCTGCCCGGCCCAGCCGCTCAGTCAGGGGCGGTGCCGCCCTGGGTTACCTGGGTGCTGCGCTGAGAAAGGGGGATTCCGAGGCCACGCGGAGGGGAGTGTCCTTTGGGGATTTGTCTCAGGGAGAATGCAAAGGGAGGATGAGAGACAGAAACTCGCAGCAGAGCACAGGCCAGAGCCACCGAGGGGAGAGGGAGAGTGGCTTACTAGCTGAGGGGCCAGAGCTAACAGATTGATGATCAACTGGATGGATATTTGCACGGTCTTGTCTCCTCATGCATTATGATAAAATTTGTCAATTTTTTTTTAAAAAAGAATGTCATTTTATCAATCTAAATTATGAAGCCTTTTGAGGTTTCCACATGGGCTATTTCTCCTGATGATGATTACACTTGACTCAAGATGTCACTGACATTTTCAAGCTCCTAAGAAGCATCTACAGCCATGACCATGGTCTCTCCTGCTGGTCCCCTTTCTTTGCAAGGTCAGGTCTGAGCAGTGCTGTCTTGACCCTTCAGCCTGATGGTGTCTGTGGGACCTCACTCCCCAGCGCTGATGTAGGATGAGCTCCTGCAGGGCCTGGAGGACCACAGAGGCCTCCTGCCACCTGCAGCCCAGGCCTGGTAAGTGCAGCCGAGCAACTGGTGGAAGGGAGGTGCCACCCTGCCTGCTCCTTTCTTTCTGGAGCCCACGTCCCAGGAAGCAGCCGCTTCTTCCCACCCACAGCCCAAAGCCACTGAGGCCTGGCCGCAGCAAAGTCCCTGGGAGAGCGGAAGGGACACCGGCCGGGCTGGGGTTGACATCTAACTGTGCCTGACTCTCTCATGTCACTCACGGCAAGACACTCCTGGACAGGATTCTACCGAATCTATTTATAGAGCCAGATACCATCAAGCAGGCAAGTGCAATCTTCAGATCAGGCATAACCACCCCTCCTCCCTTCCACATCGCAGTTATGCAATCTGCTCCTTGGAGGAAGCGAACACATCCCCGTGCACCTTGCTCAGAAATAACGTCACATATAATCCCAGCAATCCCATCTTCTCCCCTCACCAGGAGACTGGCCAAGAGGAGAAGGGAAGCCAGGTTCCCCGCCGGGTGTTTCCTCAGGGACTCCCTGAGCTGGGCCACCAGCGGGTCCCCCTAGCCAGCACTGCGACAAGATGGGACTGAATGGACCTGAGCACCACACACTGTGACAACCACGGGCGCTTCTAGACCGGGTCTCAGGACAACGGGCCAACCCTCTGGCCTCCCCTGTGACTCACGCCCCACCTACTGAGACTCCCAGGCCCAGGGCACGCTCCAGAGCCAGGCACGGTGCATTTCTACCAGTTGGAATGGAAGGCGAGTTGACCTGTCCTGACCCCTGTTTAAAGGGCAGCCCCTGGACGCAGGCCACAGGCAGAGGGTGAGCGGGGAGTGGGGATTCTGGATGAATAGCGGTGGCACTGTGCAAACAAGTTAATCCGCACCCCGGCTGTGTCAGGTG